GATTAGGATGGGTGATGATAAATGGATGGAAGAGGATGGATGGAAGAGGATGGATGGAAGAGGATGGATTAGGATGGATGGATGGATTAGGATGGATGATGATAAATGGATGGAAGAGGATGGATGGATTAGGATGGGCTCCTTCGGGACATCCGTTAAAATTGGAACGATACAGAGAGAGAAGGTTAGCATGGCCCCTGTGCAAGGATGACACACACAAAAAGAAGGATGGATTAGGATGGATGAGGATGGATGAGGATGGATGGATGGACGGATGCCATGGATTAGGATGGATTAGGATGGATTAGGATGGATGGATGGATGGATGGATGCAATGGATTGGATGGATTGGATGGATTGGATGGGGTAGGAGCAGACGATTGGATGTATGTATGTGTGTATGTATGTATGTATGTATGTATGTAGCATGTATATGTATGTATGTATGTATGCATGTGTATATATATATATGTATATGGGTGCATGGATTTGGATGGATGGATGGAAGGACTAGGATGGATGGATGCAATGGATGAGATGGGATAGAAGCGGATGATTGATTGGATGCGATGGATGGATGCGATGGATGCGATGGATGTATGAGAATGGATGGATGTATGAGAATCGATGGATGGATGGATGCATGGATGCGATGGATGGGATGGGATAAGAGCGGATGATTGATCGGATGTATGGATGGGCAATTGGACTGATGCGTGGATGGATGGATGGATGGATCGGTTCATTCAGGAATCTTCTTCAAAGACTCCGTGAATTGTGAACACAATCTTTTTTGCTTAATTGGTGTGTGGTGATGAAACTCGATACACAACTAAGTAGCTTGCAATCTGTGGGTGAGTGGTCTCTTCTGTTCAGTGGAAAGAAGAGGAAGAGTGAATGGGGCCCAGATCTCGATGAGCCATCAAAGAAGACAGTCAGGGCAGCAAATGGCTCCGCCGTTCCAGTAAGTGCAGAACGTGTGAGTGCAGAGCCTGCTGATGCCAATGGATCTGACAAATCGACGGTTGAAGTGAATCCCCCTGGGCATCCGTCCAACAACTTAGCAGCGGTGGATTCAAAGCGGAAGAAGGCGGCCTTGGCTTCCGATGTCGAGGACGGTGGCATGGCAGTAGTGCCAGCTGTTCATCAGCTCGAGCTCGTAGGATCTGGGAAAAAGTCGAAGTCAAAGAAGCAGAAACGTAAACAACATGAGCAAAAGGACGGTCAGGATGAAAAGATCGAGGATGTGGAGATGGAGGACGCGCAGCCAAAGGACGGTGAAGACCTGGCGATCGGACTAAGGACACCTGAGGTTAATCGCGGCCATCCGTCTAGTGAAGATGTGGAACAAGAAGGTGGAAGGACCAGCGAGAAGAAGAAGAAGGGGAAGAAGAAGAAGGGAAAGGAGGGGAAGGAGAAAGAGGAAGAGGAAGAGAAAGAGAAAGAGAAAGAGCAAGAGGAGGAGACACCAGATGATGATGTCGATATGAGTCGTTCTGCCTACGTGGACAGAAGCGAAGGGGAGAGGAAGAGTGAGAAGAAGAAGAAGAAGAAGGAGGGGGAGGGAAAGCGTGAGAAGGGTGCGGAAGACGATCCCGAGGCAGCGGACGACAAAAACATTGCAGAGGGGGATGAGAATGGTCGGAAGACACATCGAAGTGATGGTGAGGTGGATACGGCTGTTCCGGCTGACGTGGACGAGAGAGAAAGGGAGAGGAAGAGCGAGAAGAAGAAGAAGAAGAACAAGAAGGGAAAGCAAGAGAAGAGTGCGAAAGAAGATGTTCCCCCCGAGGCAGCGGACGAGGAGAACGCGGAGGATGGACAAGAGGATTCTGCTGAGGGTGACGGTCATCGGGAGAAGCTCTTTTCCGATGATGTGGTGGATATGGCACGCGCGTCTTCCGTCAGTGAAGTTGCTGCCGCCGCCACTGTCGAGATCCCAGACGGCGGTGGCGTTGTGAACATTGAGAGCGACGATGACGAGGAGGAAAGGAAAAGCGAGAAGAAGAAGAAAAAGACGAAGAAGGGATTGATGAAGGACAAGAGCGATGAGGACATCGCGGAGGTCGCAAAGGAGGAGGACGATGTAGGGCCATCAGGAGGGGGAGTTATGCATATCGTGAACGAGGGCCCAGAGGGCGGCGTGGTGGTGGATATCGTGAGCGATGACGAGGAGGAAAGAGGGGAAAGTGAGAAGAAGAAGAAGACCAAGAAGAAGAAGAAGGGATCGAAAGACGAGAACGGAGAGGGTATTGCTGACGGGGGGGCAATGATGGAGGGCAACGCCGGAGCAGCAGGGGAAGAGATGGGTTTGAATGAGGATGGGGATGGGCAGGCGGTTGAGGGCACGTGGTCGCCGGAGGAGGAAGAGAAGAGGGAGAAGGGAGAGAAGGGAGACAGCGATGACAAGAAGAGGAAGAAGAAGGACAAACATAAGACCAAGCATAAGCTTGAGGAGAGCGAAGATGGAGCGGTGGATGGTGGTGAGAGTCTAGTAGATGGTACAGGCAACGACCGAATTGTGGATGGGGAGCAAGCGATGGACGGAGCGAAGAAGGATTTACAGGACGACGAGGAAGATACAAGGAAAATAAAGACGACTCCGAAGAAGAAGAAGAAGAACAAGAAGAAGAAGAATAACGAGGAGGAGGAGGAGGTAGAGGAGGGTAAGGAGATTGCAGAGGGCGGCGGTGGCGGAGGAGGCGGCGAAGAAGAGACAGACGGGCAATGCATGGAGATGGATCCGGTTCTGATCTCTCCGGCGTCGAAAACGCCGGGTTCCCGTAACGATCGGCGGAAAGAGGTGACAGATGTGAGTGCGACACCGAACGAGAAGAAACCTGCAGATACGGAAAGGAATGGCGGCGAAAAGACTCCATCGCAGCCATGCCCAATTGCGGACGGAAATGGAGACAGTGCGACAGAGCGGAATGGTCCAACTCCAAACAGTCAGACACCGGTAAGTTGTTGCTGCCTTTTTTGTGTTCCGTAGGGTGTATGTATATATCGTCAAACAGAACTGCCCGGTAAACCGTAGTAGGCAGAGAGGGAGGAGAGGGGGGGGGAGAAGAGGACAACAAACGAGGGAGGGGCTGTGACAAACTGTTTCGTTGGAGTTTCACCGACTCGATATTGATGCTTAACCACAACTGGGGTTAAGGTGGATTATCACTTACTGTGTAATCCGTTAGGGGGGGGTTCTGCAGATTGTTGAGGGTTCAGCCTCTACTGATGAGTCGGTGAAACTCCGACGCAACAGTTTGTGACAGCCCCTCCCTCGTTTGTGGTCCTATTCTCCCTCTCTGCCCGCGGTCTGGGCAGTTTTGAGGGCAGTGGTTGGTGCCCACCTCCTCAGAGGGGTATCAGTTGTCGGGCGGTCGTTGATGCTTAACCATAACCGGGGCTAAGGTGGATTATCATTTACAGTGTGTAATCAGTTAGGGGATTCTGCAGACTGTTGAGGGTTCAGCCTCCTGATTAGTCAATCGGTGAAACTCCGACGAAACAGTTTGTCAGAGCCCCTCCCTCGATTGTTGTCCTCTTCTCCCTCCCTCCCTCTCTGCCTTCGCTTTACCGTAGGCAGTTCTGTTTGATGATATATATATATACATGTGTGTGTGTGTCCGCTTCTCCCTCTCTGCCTACGTTCTAAGGGTATCTGCTAACTTATTGAGTTCATCTCCTTCTAGTCAGGATTTGAACTCATGTTATATTTACTGACAGTTTCATGTGTGGGTAGTAGGAAGACATCCACACTTAACAGGGGTAGCCGCTTACTTATTTACCCCATCTTGCCGCAGGGGTAGCCTGTAAGAAGACATCTCTTAACAGGTACGCACAGCCTTTTGTCTGCTTGTGTGAAATGAAATCGACATCTGTTAAAATTTGGAACGATACAGAGAAGATTAGCACGGCCCCTGCGTGGTAAACAATTGAGGTAGGGATTGTGGGAGTAGGGGTGCACCAGGGAGACAATAACGAGGGAGGGAGGGAGGGAGGGAGGGAGGGAGGGTGGGAGTAGGGGTGCGCCAAATGGTTGATTTGATTACGCCGAGGGTGAGTGTCATATCCCTAGCATCCAACCTCTAACAACAACCTGGACTCGTTAGGGGGGGGGGGGAAATTAAAAAAAAGCATGGCCGCTGCGTAATAACGACATGCAGGAGTAGGGGTGCACCAGGGAGACAATAACGAGGGAGGGAGGGAGGGTGGGAGTAGGGGTGCGCCAAATGGTTGATTTGATTACACCGAGGGTGAGTGTCATATCCCTAGCATCCAACCTCTAACAACAACCTGGACTCGTTAGGGGGGGAGGGGAAATTAAAAAAAAGCATGGCCGCTGCGTAATAACGACATGCATGAATTAAGAAATGATCCAAATTGGAAAAAAAAGAAAGAAAGAAAGAAACATGTTAAAGCAGAGCTGTGTGTCGTCCTGATCACATCATGTCAGTAGATAGGGACTGAAAGCCTTTTGTCTGCTTTTTGGTAGAGGATTAAAGAAATAAAAAGAGACAGAAAATCTGGTACGATGATACAATCTAAGTTAGAGGCAGAGGCCATGGTTTGGTTTGTAGGCTTCTCAGTTGTTTTGGTTTGTAGATCTTTTAGTTGTTATCCTTTCTTCTTTCTTTTTTTCCTTGGGATTCAGCGACTCCTGATATGGGCTGGGTGATGCCTCGCTCATAATCGGGAGCAGACTACACATATGTGGGGGACGCTGGGCCCGTTTCCTCGCTTGTATAAAAGGAAGGGAATAGCACTATTGTAACGACCCACCCAAAACACAGACTGAGAACACTGCTGATTTCTGGGATTTGCCAATGGAATGAATGCCTTGCTGTGATTCCCGCATTCTGCTGTGGTCCCAAGTCTGTGTGTGTGCGTGCCTGCCGGTTTGCATGCCTGTCTGAGTGCTTGCCGGATGTGTGTGTGTGCGTGCCTGCTGGGTTGCATGCCTGTCTGAGTGCTTGCTGGTTGGGTATGTGTGTAACCCGCCAGGGTACTTGTTGGTTGCA